CTACATCGATTACCATAACAAATTGGAGTTATCTAAAAATCGTCTCTTTTGAGCATTACGAATACTTTTAAAAAAATTCTTGTCTGTCTGATGCCGCTGTTGTGACTTGATTTTGTAATGCCAACGAATACTCGTTGCCACTTTCGCATTGTAGTAGAGACTTTCTAATCGCAAATACAGCTATAGTAACGCCGTTGGACAATACTGATGTCAGACGCCTTCACATAGCATTCTCACTAATAGTACTTGTTCGATAATACTCGCTGGAATAGTAATCGTATAATGATCAGTATAGAGAAATAACATGGTGAATAGAGTAGAGAATAGCGATTCGTATAGCAATAGAGGATAGACTAGGAATAGTGATCCTTATAGTATAGAGGATAGACTAAAAATAGCGATCCGAATAGTAACAGAGGAGAGAATAGACACAACGATCAATTAAGCTACTTATGCGTTTCTCCCATGGTCATGTGATAGACTTAATTCAATGATGAAATCCCTAGTGCTTGCTCACTTGCGATCTATGTACAAACTCAAGTGTCGACAGCGACACTTTATTCCTATATGACGCTTGACCGATAACTTAATGTACCTGGTGTATTAAAAAACTTACACTGTCTGACAAAAAGGCGTAGTAATAAGAAATCCTTCAAAAACTTCTTGAAAGTGATTAGTAACCTATATTTTAAGATAAGGACATGTTATTAACATTGATATCTATATAGTGATATTAACCCTTTACAAGGCTCTGTGGCCACTCAAGGTAGAAGGTTACAGGGTTATGTGGATAAGTGGGGAAGATAACAGTTAACCATAGACTTGAACAGGTTAATATTGCAGTGACCAGGGAAGCAATCTCTTGGGAGCAGGTTCCACAGGTGTATTGATTAAAATTAGGACAGTTTTCCTCACGATAAAATGTTTCTTTATATTTTGATTTTCTTCTATTTTTTATCACGTTTTCTCTCTTCATCCTTAATTGTTATATAGGAATAAAGCGTCGCTGCCGACAGTTGAATTTGAACATGGATCGCCAGTGAGCAAACTGGCGATCCCATTATTGAATTACGTAGAGCACGTGACCATAGAAGAAATGCATATATAGGAAGTCGCGTGATGTCTAAATGATCGTAATTTCTATTCTATTCTTTATTACTATTCGGATCATCATTTCTATTCTATCCTCTATTTCTATACGGGCCGCTATTCTTTATACTATTTCACTATACGGATTTCTATTCGAGCGAGTATTATCCAAAAAATACTATTAGTGTGAGTGATATTCGAAGACGTCTGACACTAGTATTGTTTAACGGCGTTACTATAATTATATCTGCGATTACAAAGTCTCTACTACAACGAACATTACAAAAGTAACAACGAGTATTCGTTGACATGACAATAGTGTCAAACGAGTATTCGTTGACATTAAAAATTAATGGAAGATGGTATTTTTTTTATTTCCATAATTTATTAAGATATAGAAATGTGCAATCATTGCTATAGATTTTATTTTTAATACGACGTTTCGGTCAAGCCATCTTCAGGCATAGTCAGGTTTCTATTACCTTTAGCTGTTGTTGTTCGTTTCTGCTCAACCAGAGAATATACTTTCAATAACTGACCCACGGGTTAAACTCACGAGGACAAAAAGACGATACCTAACCACTAGACACCCATATTTTCAGAGCTTTTAGATCCAGATTTAGTTTCAAGATTTGGTTTTCATGGTGATTTCGTGTCGCTTTTTGATGTCTTTTTGATAATTTAAGATAAGATATTACTAATCGTTTTTGTTTTATTGTTTTATCTTCGATTTTTATATAGGGTGCGTCAAAAATACTTCCCATATTTTAAACTGTTGTGAGTTTAGGCCAGTGCCAATGGTGTCTTCATGTAGCTAATGTTTTACCATTTTTCAGATACCATCAGCTACCATCATGGATTGGATCGGTGCACATGATGCTTTTGCTGTTGAAAATTTTTTCTTTTATTTAAACTCATACTTAACATCAGGAAGAGACAGTTGAAATTTCTGACACCTTTAATGATGTAGGAGGGCTTGGAAAACCTCCTACTCACGGGACAGATTACCGTCTAAATTACTCTTTTTGAGCAATTTCCCTACTTATCATCTCTCAATTGCGTCTCTGTCTTTGGTCAGAATGTGCTCAGGGACGACTCCGTCAAAGGACATTGTCGCAACTGATGAAAATTATACTGAGAGGTGCCGGCCCTGGGGAACAGCTGCCCGAGGCCGCGCCTTCTCATTGCTCTCGAAAGAAGGATCGGTGCACGCACCAAGGCCAGCGCAACCGACGGTTGCGGGGGCTCGGGGAATTTTTGTTCCTTGCCCGGGTGCACGCGCTCGGGCTCCACACATTAAACCGACCTTGTGTCACAACCTGACCTCGTGGGGGGTTGAGTAAATATCTACTCACATGGCAGATTGAGGAAAAAGGAACAGAGGAAAGCAAGCATCGCGTAACGTACTTGATAGAGCATGAGTAAATGGATGATAGAACAGGGTTGGGGGGAAATAATAATAAAAAATATTAAGAGCTACAAGAGTCAAGATGATGTGGATAGTCATGATCGCTTACATCCTGAAAGGAAACACGACACATAAAAAAGACGAAGAATCTGTAATTAAAACACAGAGGGCTTTTGTGCTCATTTCATGTTACGTTGGAATGGTTAATGGATTTTAATTTTTCAACCGATATATTTTATTATTCAAACATTATTTTAATGGCTACCCGTAATTTAGTAGACACGCCGCTTAGTTTAAACAGTAATTATTTCACCTACCGGCCTGCACACTCGAAAAAATTAATAAGAAAAGGTACCGAAATAAAATATTTTTTAAAAACGAAGCCTAGCTTGATTGTGAAGTTCTACCTAGTCGTCTGGACATACCACACCGGAACAGATTGCAATTTCTCCTGTAAAGAGGGACGTAGGTTCAAATTTTGACGGAGAAAACATTTTCTTTATTACGTTTTCTGGAGCGCGCAGGGCAGTAGAGGAATGAAATACAGGTTGACAATCATATATCCGAATATCAGAAAACCGAAACCCCCTGAAAACTGAATATTTTTATGGTGTAGAGTTTGGTGCTCGAAAAGTTGACCTACTTGACCCACGCCACTTAAGTGGCAACGGGTGTCAATCCGTCCTGGGTATGACGATAAACTGCCTCCAGCAGCAATGCCTCTCAAATTGGAGGTTTACTCAGGTCCACACTGACCCGAAGTGGTAGCGCCTGTTAGGGTTCAAGCTATGGACAAATAGTTACCCCCACCCAAAAAAAAAAAAAAAAATGCGGTCAAAATACCATGAAAGCATAAAAACATATTTCATTAAAGAAAATGCAAGCAATATTATTTTTGAAAAAAATACAAACAATAGATTTTATGAATATACAATGCCAACAATCCATATTTGAAAAAAAAAATACATGCAATACATTTTTGAAAAAAAAATACCAGCAATACATTTTAGGAGAAAAAATCCCAGCATTACATTTGAATCTTTGCAAAAAACCCCTTTGCAAAAATGCGTCTATGCCAAAATGCGTCAAAAGTGAATTCTTACAAAGATTACATAATCTATTCATCACGGATCTATCCTAAAAATCTTGCTGGCATTAAATAACCCATTGATGCTGTGAAACAAAATAAACCAAACCAAATCAAACAGGGGTCATGATCGGCTCCACTCCGTACAACCTGGTTGAACGGCATGAGCCTGCCAAAAGTCAGTTGTTGTCAAGCGCTCGTATTGGGTCGACGTGAGTGTGCTTTCGCTAATCTTTTTTATTTTCGTAATTTTTGTGAATTTAACAGTAAAATATGAAAAAGAACTGCGGATATTTTTCGTTTGATGCTGTTCATTTTTAAATTATACAAGGCATATTTTGTTAGAAATAAATAAAATTTATTTCTTTATTATGCTTTATTTATCCTTCTATTTCATCTATCAGTATATTACTCTATAAAAAGCTGTAATCATATTTATAGTCTTTTTTATCCCTTGTGGTGTTAATATTCATACGGTTGTTAAATTTTGAAAACCGAAAAAAAAAAGAGCCAGAAAACTGAAATATAACTGGCCCGATTTTTTTGGATATGATTGTGCACCTGCACTGAATAAATAAACGCCGCGTCTACTAAAACACGGGTATCCGTAAAAATAACATTTAAAGTAATAAAAATATGTCAGATTAAAAAATCAAATGCCATATTTCTTTAGAAAATATCAATATACCTACACTTGTGTGCATACATAATCATATACATATTTGCGAACAATCCCATTTCATATATATATATATATATATATATATATATATATATATATATATATATATATATATATATATATTTCATTAAAAGCGACAGACAGGTGTGGCAGTGATTTTTAGCTTTCTACGCTTTCACAAAATGTGCTAACTGTATTCGGAAACTAAAACCATCACTACCACACACTGAACATACACAGAACACACACACCTTCACTAAGCTGATAATTGAATCATCCTTGATAATGGCTAAAGGTATAGCAAAGCGCTCGGAAATACAGAACATTCGACAGTTCTACACACCGTTGTCTAGAAAAGAAAGCCTTGTCAGAACACAAGAAAAACTAAATAAAAAGCTCAACCGTAGTACCTTGTCTGTCGTTTTAATGAAACATGCATAAAGGAAGGATTGCTGCCTAAATATACATATATATATATATATATATATATATATATATATATATATATATATATATGTACATATCGATAAATATCTCTCTCGTTGCTTCCTGTTTGAGAAAATAGTTTTTCTACCCACCATCTATTTTCAACTAATCTACAGGTTCAGTAGTTGGTTGGTTGGTAGGCATCAACCAATTTTTGTTTGTTTGTATGCTATGTTTTTTTTTTCTGTAAACCAGTAGGCAGTTTTATCACATAGGCAAACGGTTTCAAGTGTAGGAGGGAGAAAAACTGAAGAACAGTGTAACGTCGGTCGGGGATGGAAAGGGGGCGGGGGTGTAGTGTAGAAAAACGGATTGAATCAGAGGAAAATGGAATCGGGTGAGCGAATGGCTGACGGGTCGGGGTGGCGATGCCTGTGCGTTAGTGCAAATGGAAGAGGCTGAGACGGGGTGAATATTAGAAGAGCGAGAACGAGGGTACCATGTTGGGGGGATGGCTGGTGGGTAAAGGTGAGAGGGCGAAGAAGAGAAGCATCACCTGATTTTCAGACCGACTTACGAACCATTCAGAGAGACGATTGGTGGAGAAAATGATTACAGAGTTTTTCGCCCACCTTCCTAACAGAAAAATAAAGAAAACTTAAAATGAAGAAATCAAGGAAAAGAAAAGAGATATATAGGTAGAATATATATATATATATATATATATATATATATATATATATATATATATATATATATATATATATATATATATATATATATATATATATACTTAGAGCAATGAAACCAGAACTTAACTACCATACAGTGAAAAGATTTTCTTTTAACATAAATAACGTGCACTGACACGTACATAATTAAAAGCACACACTCTTGATCAACGCATTGATGCACGTGTATGTTTTGAAGTACATATCTTATAGGCCCCAAAATGTATGTGTGAGTTGAAGATAGGAATTAAATCCAACCGAATTATCGCTTACGTTCAAATCACACTGAAAGCACCGTTTCATCTTCGATCAAAGAAGTTAGTTGTTGCCAAAAACGATTTAAATTTAGATGGGGGACTACTTGGAAAAAATCGGTAACTATAAGCCAAAATATGCCCTGGTTTCAAATAAAACACAGAGGGTAGATAAGACATAAAAAGCAACAACAAATAAATAGTTTAATAAACATCAATTGAGAGTTACTTATTTAGCGAAACGTTAGATTTCCTAAGTTTTTATTACTTTTTCCTCATTTGCACTCATATATGCATGTATATATATATATATATATATATATATATATATATATATATATATATATATATATGTATGTATGTATATATATATATATATATATATATATATATATATGTATGCATATATATATATATATATATATATATGTATGTATATATATATATGTATGCATGTATATATATATATATGTATGCATATATATATATATATATGCATGTATATATATATATATATATATATATATATATATATATATATATATATATATATGTATATATATATATATATATGTATGCATGTATATATATATATATATATATGCATATATATATATATATATGTATGTATATATATATGTATGTATATATATATATATATATATATATATATATATATATATATATATATATATATATATATATATATATATATATATATATGTGTGTGTGTGTGTGTGTGACGATGTTTTATACATCAAGAAAAATATTGGGGAATTGTATGAGAATGTGTAAAAATTTTCTTATGACTTTCTTTTGTTCGGTGAAGTCGTAAAGGACGAAACGCGTCACAAGAAAACTCTGATTTTATTATACATATTATATATATATATATATATATATATATATATATATATATATATATATATATATATATATATATATATATATATATATATATATATATATATATATATATATATATATATATGCCGACATCCCCAAAAAAGATCATACTGATAAGTTAATTGATTTTTTCTTTCCAGATTAAAAGCATTAGAATTAAAGATGGCAGTCAAACTAAACTTTAAACAAAGTCAATTTATTCCAGAATATCACAGGAAGTGTGAAAACGCAAAAAGTGCAGATAAATTTTAGGACAGAATTTCCATCAGATCTACCGACGCGAATTAGAGATAAGTTTGAAGTCGATGGAACAATTCAGAATATCCCCGAGAAGCATTCTGATAGAACACGGACATCGACGAGCCTCACAAAGCCCCGCTTGGCAAACAGGTGGAATGGACGACGGACGTTTCGTAGAATACCCTCCGCCTTCATCAGACTAGACTTTTTTATGGTGGTACTTGAAAGCCAAAGTCCACTCTATGGAACTTGAATGAGAATGCCAAGAACTCCAGTCGTGCGTCAGTTTGAAAACAGGTGTTGACAAAACAATAAAATAATGTCTGTAGAGTTTATCAAATTTTTAAAATGAAATGTATTTTAATAAATACTAAGTTCACAATTATTTAAAGTGTGTATACATATTTGGAAGACCCTTTATACACACACACAAACACACACGTATATATATATATATATATATATATATATATATATATATATATATATATATATATATATATATTAAAGAGAAAGAACAGTAAGATATATAACCCGGTGTTCTTATTAATATTTTTATATTTACGAAACAGTTCTCAGTGCATAAATATTATAAATTTAATTATTCAAAAGTACGGTTCCATCGCTACACAGGAATGACCATGTTTCAAATACAGAAGTTAAAACATTAAATTCAATTATAGAACTAAATTAAAGTAAAAAAATCTTTATGTATACAAATACAAATTTAACGGCGAAACAAAAGTGCCTAATAACTTTCAGTCTTTAAAAAAACCCAGTCGACATGCGTTAAACGGATGTCCTCATTCGTTTGAAAAAGGCATGACTACCATACTTTGACTTAAACTCTTTTCGAAAGTCACTAATGTGTTGATGCAATAGTTGTCAGTTTCCCATATATATATATATATATATATATATATATATATATACGGGGTGTCTCAGAATTAACTATTTGTTTCAATGAAATTTAAATAATTAAAAAAATGAAAAAAAGTCTGTGAGTTCAATACCCGTTTAAGGCAGTGGAGAACTTTCAGCGGGAAATTAACAGGAGATAACTGATAACTGACATCCATTAAACATAGCACGTGGAACTAGAATATTCTATCCGAGTGAGCGAGATAAAGGGTTATATAAGTTCGATATTCCAACCACCTGAAGAAGCCTGGGGCGTACAACGGCCGAAACGTTGTAATAAATATGGCGATAAATAGTCCGAATAATGTAAATATTGTTTAAAAAATCTGTCACAATTTTAAGTTTGTTACTTAACTATGATAAAAAACAAATAGATATATACATCTTTCGTAAAAAAATTTACCATGTGTTGTTATATACTCAGTATCTGTAGATTGCATTATGTATAACACTTTTGAGATAAGTCGTTCCTAACGTTTCACAGCCACATCGCATTTGATGGTCTGATAATTCTAGTGAATGTATCCGCAAATATCATATGTATATAACGACCATTTCGTATATTCACCTGCGCATTTAATAAAACTTAATGAAGAAAATGATACCGGTGGGGGATAATACATATATGTTGGGGCGCACCCACCTTCTCAAGAGAATGGACTGATCTCTCTACGATATAGGTCAGTGCTAGAGAGATCAGGGGAGTTGAGATCACGAGATCAGGAGATCACCGACCATTGCACTTCCGTCTCTCGACCGGAAGACACCGTTGGACTTTAGACTCTTGCTAAGTGTTATTACTAACCTGCGTTCGTTATTACTAATTACTCTGTTGTTAAATACCTCTTCAAATATACCAGTATTTTTCCCTACATATGTGTTTGTCCTTATTTGAATACACACACGCGGGAACACTCCCAACATCTCAACAATATATTAATGGATTGTAATATTTTAAGCATATATATTTTTATTAATTCAAGCATTATCGTCTGTGTAAGTGCGATTTCTATAACTTCCTTTTTTAAACAGTGTATATTTCGTTTACTCGCCTGCGCATTCAAAAAACCTTGAGTTGCTTAGCAAAATTCGAAAAGTACATCCTCCTTTGTAGGAGAGGTAATCCTCCGATCATGTGCGCTTTACACCACTCGTTTACGGATTAGGCAGCAATCCTTTTTCATGCACATTTCATTGAATACAACAATATCAGAGATAGAGCGTATATAAATATAAAAGTGAACATTGAATCAACACTCAGAAGCGACAGGCTGTTTCATGCTGGACGCAATAGTCAGGGCGTGAATGCTGTATTTTTCCTCGGCTATTTAATTTGGTCAGTGGTGCATTTTGGGTAATCTATTCTGGCGACTATTTGCGAGAGTAGTTTGTTTATTTATTTATTTGTTTTGGTTAATTATTTTTATACCGCCAGAATAGATTACACTCAATGCACCACTGACCAACTTATATAAAAAATCTCGCATCCAGCATAAAAAAAGCCTGTCGCCTCTGTGTGTTTACTTCAATGATCACTTTTATATTTATATTTACATACGCTCTATCTCTGATATTGAGCACTTTCCCCATGAATATAACAGACCTTAAATATATATTACTATTATTTATTTAAACCAACGTTCAACTGCAGAATAAAGAACGAATGTCCCTTCAACGGTAATTGTTTACAAAACCATGTAATATACCAAGCCACGATAAAATCACCAGATAATGAAGAAAAAAGTATATAGGAGTAATTGAAGGACTCTGGAAACAAAGAAATTATGCACACAAAACATCTTTCACAAATAGTACATATGCGAACAGTACAATGCTTTCTAAGTATATATTGGAAATTGAAAACAAAACGCACATCGCACCAAAAATATCTTGGAAAATAAAGAAAAGATCATCAGCCTACAACAACCAATCAAAAACTAGCAAACTTTACTTGGAGGAAAAGATAGCTATCATTACATTCCCAAACCAAAATAAATTATTAAATAAAAGATCTGAGCTAATCTCAAAATGCAGACATGAAAACAATTTTATTACGTTATTTAACAATCGAAAAAATAAAATAAAAATAAATACATAAAATAAAAAGGAATAAACTAAAAAATAAATTGACCCAAACAAATTATCAAATCACACCTGTTAGAATAGACGCCATAGATTAAAAAAAAAACAAAAGAAAAAATCCAAAAATCAATTAACCCAAATAAATAAAGTAAATAATAAACAAATTAGCAAACCATTATGAGCAAAATATTTCTTAGACTATAAAAATCAAACCGAAAAATCGGACGAAAAAATAGCTAGAACTGTTATATAACGATAAAAAAAATATGACGTTACTTAAAAATCGAAAACCGAAAAGAGAAAATATACAGTATAACAAACAAA